TATTTTATATTAATATTTTGTAGTCTTCCATCTGGCCAGCAGGTGGGGCTCTAGTCTCCTTTCAACAAGTGATGCATTGTATCACTCTCAGATATGCTGAAAAAAGCCTGTTCAGATCCACAGACCCAGTTCAGAGCCACGGACCCCAATCATGTTTCAACCACTTCAGTACTGACATGTTAAAACAGTGTGAGATTTTGACTGAGAATTACTCAGTCACGCCACACTAACAAAATTATTTTAGATCATTATTTTGAGACAGATAAGAGTTTTCTTTTGGTGGCAATTAATTACAGTGTACTTTTCTAATAAAAAGGTAAGACGTCTGTCTCTGTGACCTTTGACTAATCTGATCCTTGCCTGAATTTCCTGTGTAAAAGAAATGACTGTCAATCTACTTCCATATATTGCAAAGAAAACCCCAGTGGATGTTCAATAAGGCAATTATCTAAAAGCTCACCACGAGTAATAGAGACTCAACAGCACTAGAAAGATAAAAGATGACGTTTTATGCAATGATGAGTAGAACTTGCCCTTTACGTACCTGCATACGGTGAACCTCAGCAGTAATGATCCACACCTTGAGAATTCCTGTGACTGAAACCGCTACAACTGTATCTTCTGTGGAACAATACAACAGAGTTCATGTGTTATGAAAACACATTACTGGAATTAAAAAATTCATTGTGAACAAAGTTTACAGCTAAATCTGCCAATGAAGCCCAGAGATGGAAAAAGAGTAACCAATCAGCCCATTGCAATCATAAACTGATACAAAAACTGTAAAAAAAAATGTGATAGAAATATAGAACAGATATCTAGGAAGCCCCAAGGGCTATGTCAGGCAGGTGATTAATCGCTGCTACAATTCCCTGTCAGTAAGTTACAGCAATCTGAGTCACTGGTGTTTAGTCGCTAAGAGGATATCTGTCGCTGCTACAAGTTAAACTACTGCTATGGCATTGGGCTGGGGTGCTCTGCTACAAATTGCTATCTTTCAGCTAAGCCATAGAGGTAAATACAGAGCTATTGTAGTCGGTGAGCTTCTCACCAACATGAAACGCCGTTAGAGATTCCACAGAAAAGAACGACTTCCTTAATGTGACACTAAACTCAGAAGTTAAAAATACATTCAAGTACCTTAACTAGTAACAAAACGTATCTTATTTGTGTATCACTCGGCTGTAGATCCTTAAATCATCTCTGAATTGGTGTTGACACTGTCCTTCCTTCTGGAGGGGGGCTACTTTGTTCTCCATGGTCCCTGTGTGTGTTGTAAAGTAGTCCCAGCTCCCTCCCGTGATGGACTACACACTTACATTTAGTTTACTAATTTGTATTGAGATTGTAGCCTATCACGGAAGTGAGCTTGGAGCGGTGACTTGAATTGATTTTTTTTAAGGTTTAACTCCTGAGTTTAGTGTCACCTAAACAAAAACAAAAAAAATTGCAGAACAAAATGTTCTTTCTTTAATGAAAGCACCCAAACTTTAAGGGAAGTCATACTTATTTTCTGAGGAATCTCTAATGGCGTTTCATGTCAGTGAGAAGCTTTAATACAATTAATAAATGAAAACAAAAACAATCTGTTACAAGTGATGAGATTTTTTTTTCATGAATACTGCATAAAATATTAATTTCTGGACTTACAGCAAGACAAGCGGTGTAAGCTCAAGACTTAATAATAAACGACATGTGTCACTCATTGTAAATATGAAGAAATAAACATTGATTTTATTGTATATGGAAGTATTTTGAAGTTTAAAAAAAAGTGCACTTTTATGAGAAATTGTTTTTAAGTCCTGAGTGCTATGGTAAGAAGTCTCTTTAACCTCCCTGGCGGTCTGATTATTCAGGATTTTAGCATCCAAAAGCGGTACATTGTTTTTCATGGAAATTTGTTGTTTTATATTGTAGGCCTGTAATTCTTAGTAAATCTTAGGAATAACTCCCCTAAATCTTTCCAAACAAGAGTCCAGTAGACATCACGGGTATGATAAAGTTTGAAACACAAAATTAAAAAATTATAATAAATTTTAAAAAAATGGTCCAGTAAATGGGAATTCTGGGGCGCAGCCTGATCCGTACCACAGTCAATAGGAGTACCAAGTTTGCACATCACTGAGCTCGGTCGCAGAATCATCGCTGTTTTAGGTCAAAAGCGGTTTTAGACCAGGTAGAAAACAGCGATAGTAAATTAGAACTACTTGCAGAATTGAGCGATAGCGATTCGTTGGGAAATTCCACAACAGACACTACCGTAGAAGGAGTGTTTGGTACAACGTTCTATCGAGAGTAGCTTTGTGTGATTGCTCCAGGGAGTGTATTTCAGATAGTAATGAGCGAATCTGAAGGAGACGGTCTTTTTTCCGCTTAGAGCCCTCTCACCACCGACTTGTGCGCCTCCCAGAGAGTGGCCGATGCGACCGAACCCTCATCATTCTCAGCAAAGTACGAGGCAATACAAGAGGTCAGACGGTCTGCGATTACCGGGTCATGGAGTAGGGATTCGTTAAGCCTCCAGTTGTATTGACGATGATGCTTACAAACCAATTGATTTTTTGGGATGGTACCTACTGAGCTGTAAATATCTTGCTCTATGAAAATCCACTCTGATTTACAGATATTAGTACAAGTCACATATATTATGATCTCTTTCTCTCATATAGAAAGCCTAGTAACAAAGCCCAGAAGTATTCACAAACAGGTCAGGTTCAATTACCTTGTGTCCTGTGAGAGCGGATGATGCTCATCGAGCTGATCCAGTCTGGAGAGATCTTTGACACCAGCGTGTATAGGACATCCAGGCTGCTGGCGTCTACAACGAGGACTTCTGGGTAGTGGCCGTGACAAAGTAACCTCCCCTCTCGCTGAATCCCAACCGAGAACTGGTAGAACTGAAAGAATAAAGGAGACATTTCTGTGAGTTCAACAGTGTACTGGGGCCATACACATTGCTGAACCATCTTTTTGTACAAGTCAGTTTAGTCACACATGCACTTAAATGGTATAGAAATTGTAAAATGATGTTAGAGATATTGGCCTCTGGAGCCATTAACAGAGAGGCTGACCAGCAACTTCAGTACTCAAGCTGTTGTGAAAAACTACAAGTCCCATGAACCATTGCAAGACTCCAAGAACCACAGGCATGACTCCCATAGGCAAAAGCAGGATAGATTTTAGTGTTCCAGCACAGCCGGGGTGCAGAGGTTGCCTACCCCTAATGCGTGGCCACATAGGGAGAAGATCAGCCATTCATATTCAAGCCCAAATATGATATATTGCAGCTTATCAGTCCCTAAATGTGACAGATGCATTAGTTTTCTTTTTTTATTTCTGTGTTTTCACCAGGTGATCCAGCCAGTAAGTCTGTTATTTTTCATCTTGCTTTAGCAGTCCAAGCTGTCCAGTAAAAGTGGTACATAGAGGATTGAGACAAACCATTTAATACTGACAGGAGTGTTTACTATGGTCAGCTTTTATTGATGTAAAACCTTTAACCCAAAAGGAAAAAAAAAAAAAAAAAACTGCTGCTGTAACTGCTTAACAAATGTTATCTGGAGTTCGGCTTTAATTTGTTAGTCAAGTCCATCAAAAATGTGCTAGTCCATCTAACACCACCCAACCCACAGGGTGGCTCCATTGCTCTTCCATAGAGTTGAGCCACCATAAGGCTGGAAGTGTGCTATTGGCCCGTTCACCAGGTGAAACTACAGGGGGGGGGGGGGGGGGGGCTAAAAAAAGAAGAAACGAATGCAGCCACCGTATGTAAGGACTGTAAAGCTGCAATATACAATTTTAGTTTTGGGTTTAGAGGCAAATATTTTTCAAGGTAAAAAAAATAATTCAAAATCTTGTTCTGAAATGTTATATATATACATACACACACATACATATACACACACACATACACATATACATACACACAATATAGGATGAGGAGAATGTGGGTCTTTGAAGGGAACTCAGATACCGTAATAATTTTCCACGAACCTGTATTCCAGTGTGTGTACACGCCAGCTTAGTGAATTCCACACATCTTCCATCATTCACATCCCAAAGACACATCTCACTGTAACAGAAAGGAAATATTTCAAAGAACTTTTATTACGGTGTGCATGCATTTGACTTTTCATTGATGGAATTAATCTTTTAGATTGTAAGCTCTCACGAGCAAGGCCCTCCTAACCATCTTGCTTTGATTTGTATTGCATTATATTGTAAAGCACTGCACAAATAAATCCTTTAAGCGGACCTTTACCCATATCTTTAAAATAGCAACAAACACACCTTTAGAAATGTTTAGTAATAACAATCTACAAACACATACTTCTAGATGATTTCTGGCTTTGTATTCTTTGCATTCCTTATTTCTCTTTTCTTCCACAGTCTTCAGACAGTGGCCATTTTCACTAAGGGCAGATTAATATATCTCCCTTTACTTCCTGGAACTCTGGCACATGTGACTAGGACATGTGACCATATACATCATCTCAGGGGAGGAAAATGCCTTTCCCTGAGATCTCATGAGATTACAGATGAGATTTCCCAGCAATGCTCTGCTCATGACAAGGCAATCCCAGTGTGCATTGATTTGCCAAACTGAAGTCATTTTGCCCTTTCAAAGCAGGAAGTGAATGTTCCGCAAGTGTAAGTATTTCACAATCAGAGCATTTTACACCTGACATGTCTGTTATTATTACTCATCATACATAGAGGGATGCATTGGTAGAATTGGATTGAGTGTAAAGGCCCGCTTTAATAATAATGATAATAACAATTATTAAATATTACTATTATGGATTTTAAAATCGGATTGCCAGTGTTAATTTCGTCAACTTAAAATTGTAATCATAGTTTTAGTCAGCTGCATGTTTTTAGTGATTAAAACGAAATAAAAAGTTAATAGGACTAAAACCATGACGAAAATACATTGCAAATTTTCTCTACTGGAGATTTTGTCCACAAAACTAAAACTAAAACTCAAAACAATTCAGAGGACTAAAATACAACAAAAACTAAATGCCATTTTAGGCATCTGAATTGTTTTAGTCTTGTCCACTAAATCTCCAGTAGAGAAAATTGCGATGCACATTCGTCATAGTTTTAATCCTATTATCTTCCTTTTTTATTTCCTTTTCATTTAGTTTTTATCACTAAAAACCATGCAGCTGATGAAAACTATTACAAAATAATTTTAGTCGATGAGACAAACACTGCTGATTGCACAGTTGTAGCAGAGGACCCATATTGAAAGTAGCAGAGTCCCATTTCACCTCCCTCTCTTCCAGGACATTAACAAAATACACAGCTCTGGCTTCATTTTCTGAATGGTCCGGGAAGGTAGGTGGAGACAGACCCCAGCTCTGAGGTCTATGAGAAATGTAGCGCTTACATATGGGTGACCTGGAAGTACAGTGGGGGCCGGGCTAGTTCATGCATCTAAATGAGTAGATTTACAGGATTAGTAGGAAGCCTGCATGACAGGGGGGCTTTGCAGCAAAAATAAATATTTTCCAGTTTTAGCCCGTGTATAGTTGTGTATTGTGCCTGCAGTTGGGTTTAAACATAAAAGCACTAATGAAAAAGCAGACACCACAAGCCTGCCGTCACCTTTGTGTGCTCTTCCGAAACTAGTTTTACTTTGTTACTGGGGGCCAGACTTCCCCGACTTCAAAACTTACACCTGCCAATAGTCATCACACTGGCTCATGAAGGGGTAGGCAACCTTGGCACTCAAGCTGTTGTGGAAATACAAGTCCCATGAGGCATTGTAAGACTGACAGCCACAGGCATGAATCTCAGAGGCAGAAGCATAAGATTTGCAGTTTCACCACAGCTGGAGTGCCAGAGTTGCCTATCCCAGGAATAATGAAAATGTCCAAGTGGCCAACAAGCCAAGAGAGATTCAAGGTGTTGTGAACACTCACCCGCTTTCAGACGCACTGACGATGTACTGCCGGTCACTGGATGCAGAGGCTTTAGATAAGCAGGTAATGGAAGCTGTGTGTCCAAACAGGAGAGCCCGAGGATTGATCTGGCAGTGAGGAAATAAAAATACTGTAATTGCATACAAGAAAAGAGACATGCCAGGCACGTGAGCTCTTGACCATGGGTAGCCCATCAACACATTCAGCATGTAAAAGGTGATCCGAGTGTGATCGGTTTTTGTATTTATTTATTTATTTAAGGCATTTGTAGAGCACCGGCAATTTACACAGTGCTTTACACAGTTGTACATTCACATTAGAGCTGCAGCTAACGATTATTTTCAAAATCGGTTAGCCGATTATTAAGTTCGATTAATCGGTTATCAGTCCCTGCCCTCAAGCAGCTTATAATCTAAGGTCCCTATCTCACATGCATAGAGGGCCAATTTAGACCAGAGCCAATTAACCTTCCAGCATGTCTTTGGAGTGTGGGAGGAAACCAGAGTACCCGGAGGAAACCCACACAAGCACAGGGAGAACATGCAAACTCCCATTTGTGGTACAACAATGCTAAACGCTCACGTTCCTTCCATGAATAGAATTAACCTGTACAGTAACTGCTGAAGGTTATCATCGTGTATGTAAACCTCAACAATGAACATCTCTTATTCGCTCCCATTTGGTCTGTTTAATACATAACTGAGATTTCTTATATCTGTTCAAAAGGTAAAAGAAATACCCGTCGATCCTGCCAATAATCTTGCAAACTGACAATAACTTCCTGAGCTCTCTGCCTGTGTTGCCCTGCTATCAGTTAGCAATGTTCCCAGCTATATCTGACAAACCAGCGCTCCCCCGTATATTATGAAGGAGGAGAAGGGCAGATTTTCTATAGTCCTGCACTAGGATCACAATGCTGTTCCTCTATAGATACAGTACAGTGAATGAATGTTGTAATTCCTAGGGCAGGAAGTGCATTACCAGCAGGATCACCAGGTGAAAACAGGAAAAATGCCCAAAAAAGAAAAATGAATGCAGCCTCACATCTTAGGATATTTGTTCATTCGTTTAGATACACTTTAATATTTTTACTGAAGAGTAAGCTACATAACACCCTGTGCACCGGCCTGACTTTACCCCCAGCAGGTTAGAAGCTACCAGTAATGACTATGCATTCTGAAAATGCTAGTTGCCTGGCTGTCATGCTGACCCCTTTGGCTACAGTACTTTGTGTCACAGATACAGAGCAAGCATGCAGATACTGAGTTCTGACTTTTCTGATCTGCCTACTTGTTCCAGGTCAGTGGCTCAGAAACTATCAAAGTTAGTGGGGCAGCATTTGGGAAAGGAGGTCAGGTGAGTATAGGAATCCATATCATAGGCAGCAGCCAGCATGAATGTAGTGTGTGTCATTACATGCTGCCCTGTTCACAGAACACACCAAGCTCTGTAGTGGATTGAAGACCCTACAAGACGTCTCAAACTTACAAGCTGACCCGGATGTACTGTTTAATTGGGCAACTACATGAAAAATAAATGTAACATTAAAAATGGTAAAGTTATGCACCCCACATCGTGGCATCCTGTTATAATGGTGCTCATATCATCCATTACCAGCACAGTGGATATACAGTGTGTGGGAGCTTTACGCCCCCAGAGGACAATGGGAAGAACCAGACTATTCCCAGTCATTTTTCACCCCTGGAGAAAGAAAAATAAAATGACAGATAAGCACTTGAGTCAGTTTAGTTCTTCTACCATTTAGTAGGGTTCCTGGCTTTCAGGGTCTGATGATTACACTGGGGAACAATCGTTTTCTTATGTTCTGTTGCATGAGATTTTGCAACGCTGATTTCAAGTATGAAATTGGTTTTCCTCTACATGCTCTAGTTTTCATGCAATTTGAAACTTGTGATTTCTGCCCCCCCGCCCCCCCCCCCCCCAAGAAGAGGGAGGGGAGAAGGTGGAGGTAGTGATTGGGAAAGATTTTGACCCTACCCACCACGGAGAAGATAGGAGTGCCGAAACTAATGTTTGGATGAAATGGATGTATTATAATGCCAAGAATTACAATAAAGTACTACATCGTCTGCTTTCCCCCCCCCCCCCCCCCCCAAAGAAAGGGACACCCATTCCTCCTTAAGCTAGAAATGGCTTGAGAACTCGGCTTATCCTCATGTATCACTTGCCCCTCCCTTTTAGATTGTAAGCCCTCAGGGGCAGGGCTCTCCTTACCATCTTGTATTGTGATTGTAATGTCTTCCTTATATTGTAAAGCGCTGCGCAAACTGTTGGCGCTATATAAATCCTGTATAATAATAACAATAATACTACTACTACTACTACATCTACCCTATCCTTAGACTAATTAGGCAAATTATTTACAAACACCAATATTCTTTATCTTTTGTGTTGTTTTTTTTATAATAGAGATTTAATCGGATTTACACAAGAGGAAGATGACTGACAAGGACAAGGCAACATGGCTGACTTTTGTGGCTGTCAGTTATAGAAAACCTTCTTGGTAACAAAAAGGCAGATATGAGCTTCTTGTTACTAGAATGCTGTTGGCTCCACTTCCAAAATTGTTACCTTCATCAATTCCCCGAGAACCTTGGGGATATCAGTGAACAGGGAGAGAGCTTCCATCAAGACCTCATGACGATGGAACAGCGCTATCAAGGGCGATGGGATAGAAATATGATGGCAGACTACTTCTGGAGCATCAAACGAGATACCCGGAGTCCACAAACACCACAGCACAAATTCTTGCCTGAATAGGACATATTTGAACTTTGCATCCCGTCCTTATCAGTTTGGATACAAATAGCACTACCCAACGTATTAGCCCAGGTGATCCGAGACCTCACCCCAAATAATTAATTTGTAAAAAAAAAAAAAGGGTTTCACAACCCAGGTTGTAGTGGGGGTTTAAAGAGGCGTCAGATGGTAATCGATTTGATATAAATTCATATGACAAATTTAAAAACATTCCAATAGATAAGCATGATTCTCAGTTCCTGATTCTTGCCCTAATTCTCACAACTCGTATATTTACATATTGTCTTTCATATTATACGAGCTGTGAGAATTAGGCAAGAATCAGGAACTGAGAATCATGCTTATCTATTGGAATGTTTTTAATTTTGTCATATAAATATTTTAATGAATTCTAATGAATTTATATCAAATCGATTACCATCTGACGCCTCTTTAAAACCCCACTACAACCTGGGTTGTGAAACCCCCGTCCTTATCAGTTGTTCTTAATCACCAGGGCTTGAAAAACCCACTCGTCCTCTCGTCTGTGACGGGAGGACGCCGGAGCCAGACGAGTAGCTTCCCGGCCAGCCGTTATAATTAAACGGCCGGCAGCTTTACATTCAAGCGATCTAGCGTCTCTCGTTTGTATTAGCAGCCGCTGTCACTGCTGTTGCCGGTCCTGAGATCCGCTGTGCCCGGTGCAGCCAAGACCGTCACAGCTGCCCTGTGACAGGAGATCAAAGGGAGAACAGTACACAATCTCCCTCTGCTCGGACGCAGAGAGGATCCATCCTGTCTGCGTCCAAGTACAGACACCCGCACGGATGTGCATCTTGGGTGAGCGCACGGCCACGTCCTTCCATAGAGCAGAACAGGCTGCTCCGTACAATCACACGCAGCACCTGTCCTTCCCGGAAACGGCCCGATACGGCCATGCACGCCGCATGGATCTGTAAAGGCCGACTCTAAGCTGTGTGAATGAGGCCTTACAGTCTGGGGGATTGTTTTTCTCAAGTGCACTGAACATCTGCAGGGTTTTAATTGCACAGTATTATTATGATAGAAGATATGCAACATATACACAGACTAAATCTGGGGTATAAAACATTACA